CGAGGGATGTCTGACTGCCCGTTTAGGCCCGATCCCAGTGGATTCAGGCCTAAACGAGCAGTCGGACATCCCTCTCACAATCCAGGACTGCTGGCTCCCAACCGCTCGCCTGCCTGCCTGCCTGATTGCCCCTAATTGCTTATGCCTGCCAGCCTGATCACCCCCTGACCACTCCCCTGCCAGCCTGATCGACGCCTAACTGCTCCCCTGCCGGCCCAATTGCCCCTAACTGCCCTCTCTTGCCGGCCTGGTCACCCCTAAATGCCCTCCCCTACTGGCCTAGTTGCCCCTTAACTGCCCTCCCCTGCCGGCCTGATCGCCCCTAACTGCCCTCCCCTGCTGGCCTGATAGCCCACAACTGCCCTCCCTCCCCTGCCGGCCATCTTGTGGTGGCCATCTTTGACCACATGGGGGTGGCCATCTTGTGTGTTGGAGTGATGGTCAATTTGCATATTACTCTTTTATTAGATCACTATTTATATTGCCAAAATTTGAAAACCATCTAACTAGCCAATTATGTTATGAGTGTTTAGTATCTTATGAACTATTTTATTTTGTTATTTTAAATCTTTATTGTTGAGATTACAGATGTCCCTCTTTTTCCCCCCACTGCTCCCCTCCACCTGGTTCCCGCCCCACCCTAGGCCTTCACCACCCTACTGTCTGTGTCCATAGGTAATGCACATATGTAGAGAAGTTCTTTGTTTAATCTCTTCCTGTCTCCCACCTTCCCTCTGAGATTCATCAGTCTGTTCCATGTTTCCATGCCTCTGGTTCTATTTTATTCATCAGTTCATTTTGTTCATTAGATTCCTTGTTCATTTATTTTGATTTTTAGATTCATTGTTGACAGATATGTATTTATTGGCATTTTATTGTTCATAGTTTTTATCTTTTTCTTCTTCTTCTTAAAGAAGGCCCTTCAACATTGCATTAATACTGGTTTAGTGGTGACGAACTCAAGCTTTTTCTTGTCTGTGAAGCTCTTTATCTGACCTTCAATTCTAAATGGCAGCTTTGCTGGGTAGAGTAATCTTGGTTGTAGGTTCTTGCTATTCATCACTTTGAATATTTCTTGCACTCCCTTCTGGCCTGCAAAGTTTCTGTTGAGAAATCAGCTGACAGTTGTATGGGTGCTCCCTTGTAGGTTAACTGCTTTTCTCTTGCTGCTTTTAAGATTCCCTCTTTGTCTTTAACCTTTGGCATTTTAATTATGATGTGTCTTATTGTGGGCCTCTTTGGGCTCATCTTGTTTGGGACTCTGTGCTTCCTGGACTTGTAAATCAATTTATTTCACCAGGGAGGGGAAGTTTTCTGTCATTATTTCCTCAAATAGGTTTTCAATATCTTGTTCTCTCTCTTCTTCTGGCATCCCTATAATGCAAATGTTGGTACACTTGAAGTTGTCCCAGAGGCTCCTTATGCTATCTTTATATTTTTGGATTCTTTTTTCTTTTTGCTCTTCTGATTAGGTGTTTTCTGCTTCCTCATATTCTAAATTGCTGATTTGATTCTTGGCATCCTATACTCTATTGTTGATTCCCTGTAAATTATTCATTTCAGTTAGTGTATGCTTAATTTCTGACTGAGCCCCTGTAGGGCTCAGTGGCTCAGCCTCCACAGTCACCTGAACAGGCACGCTAGGTGCGCCCCTGTGTGGGCTGTGTGCACTGTCTTGTTGTAACTGAGCCTTGATTACTGTTGGCACCACTGGGAGGAACTGACCCCCAGGCCAACTGGCTGCAAGGACCAGCTTTGACTACACCAGAAGAGCTGATGTCCAGGAGACACCCCTATGAAGCAGGACTTGCTTCAGGGGGCTTTGGTGCTCTCCAAGTCTGCCCCTTGAGTGTGTCGCTTATGGATGTAAAGAATTGTAATATGACCTGGTCCGAAACTGTCCACTGAGTGCACTGGATCTGGGGCTTTCCACGAGGTACAAAGTCAGCCACTGCCTGTGCCCTGCCTGGGGCCACCCAGCACAAACTACAGAGCGGTCTGCAGATGGTTACTACTTGTGTTGGGCTTGGAGGTTCCCAGGAGAGTGCAAACTGTGAAGCAAGGCAGGCTGCTGCTAGTGCTGGAACTGGGACCGCTTATCGAGAGGTATGGGGCACGCTGAGTCCAGCTGCTACTTGTTTGAGAGGTTTTAGGAAAGTCTGAAGCTTAAGCCAGGACAGGTGATTCATATGGAAAAGCTGCTGCAAACAGCTTGGGTGGGGCTAAAAACTGGGTAGGACAAGGTCTCAGGGATTCACCAGGGTGAGGTCCAGGTTGATGGAGACTCAGATTTTGTGCCTGCCAATCAGCTCTGTGGTGGGAGAGGGAGTTAGGGAGGGATTTCAGCATAGAAACAGAATTTCTGGAGGATGAGGCCCAGAAATCAGGATTTTAAAAAGATTCCCAGGTGATTCTAATGTGCAGCCAAGGTTGAGAACCACTGCCCTAGATCCTTTCAAGTTGCTGCCCAAGTGCTGGAGCTCAGACGTACTCCAAGTGACGTACTCAGTGAGTCTGGGTACGTCAGTGCGCCAGGCCTTTAAGAGGAACTGTTTGGGTCTCCGGCAGCCTCCGCGTCACTCAGCCATAATCCCCGCTAGTTTTTATAGCCTGAAGTTACGGGGACTTCTCTTCCCAGCACTAGAACCCTGGGCTGAGGGGGTCTTGTGTGGGGCTTGGATCCTTGCTTCTCATGGGAGGTCTCCATAGCCAAGATATCCCTCCAGATTAAAAACATGCCACATAGAGGTGTCAGACTAGCCACTTCCATACCTCCGCCCAGTCTCAATGTGCTTTATTCTATAACTCTAGTTGTAGGACTTCCATTCAGCCAGATTTCAGGCGGTTCTGAATGATGGTTGTTCTGTATTTTAGTTGTAATTGTGATGTGCTTATGGGAGGATGCGAGTACCACATTTACCTACACTGCTATCTTGGTTCCTGCGTATGACCTGTTTTAAATCCATTTATCCACACAGTGAAAAGACCACTACTATCTAGAACCTCACCACCCATTACACACACACAAAAAAATGTTTTTGTTCTTTCTTTTATGCACCAAAGTACTTTCTGCAAATTGTTATTATAGTCCCTTAGCACACAACACTATGGTAAATTGTTCACTCTCCCAGTGAACTGTAAGCTGTTATATTCATCTGTGTGTCCCCAGCACCTACCAGGCACATAGCTGGCATCCATTAAATGAACAGAATTGAAAATGAATAGAAGGAAAAATTTCCCATTCAGTCAACCAACATGACTTTGGACCTGAACATCTCAAATATTCAAGCTCAGACACGTTTTGCTATACTGGGCAGCAAAAGCAAAGTTGAAGTACCCTATAAATTCAGTTCACAGAAAGAACCTTGGTGAAAAGTATTTTTAAAAGGAACAGAGGCAAAAGCTCTCTTGATCTTACAATTTAGTGTGAAAGCAGGCCTTCACTATTTAGGAGGGGGGAAAAAACAAGTCTTCGTATTTCTTATAGATTTGGAGGCCAAGAAAAGTTAAATATTCCCATTATTTTAAAGTAATACTCTTCTAATTGTTCTTTTATTCATGACATTCTTTCTACTTTCTGGAAAGGTAAGAGGAGTTGATTATGTGAAATATCCACTATCTCCTATTTTCTACTCTCCTACTATATGAAGAGGTAGCACTCCTCCCCACCCCCAATCTCCCTTACCTCCTTCCATGAATAATATCTAAAAGACTGCCATTTTTCTATTTCACACAAAATTTGAAAAGAGATCTGGGCCTCATGCCAAAGAATTGTCAATTTTTCAAACAAGATTACCCTACCAAATCAGTCATCTTTCTTCTTCCATTAGAAAAGATATTAAAATAGAATTACACTTCAAAATGTGAGCTCAACATTTTAAAACCACTAAATTTTTTGTATCCTTAATATACTCTAGCTTTTATTTTTCTAGCTTTTCTTTATAGCATTAAACAAAACTGTGGCATGCTTTCCAATCTTAAAGATCTTTCCCATCTTCCCGAATTTGTCACAGACTAGTCCAATTACCAGAGAAAAATACTAAGTCATAACTTGACATTTCAAACATATTCGTGCAATCCAGGTTAGGTAAAAAGGACAACCAAACTATATGTTAGATACATTAACTATACCACATTCTCACGAGAAAGTCAAGTTCTGTAAGAAAATATTTGCTTTTTTATAACCACCAATTTCAAAAGTCTTTTTACATTGGAACAAATCATTTGGAAATAATAGTTTGTCCTTATCTAGTAAGTTAAAACTACATACACTAAATAAGTGTGTATACATAATCCAGAACACTCCATCATTGTCAATGATATCCCCAAACTGGAAGCAACCCAAATGTAAAACAGTAGAATGGATAAACAGTATCTGGGAATAAAAAGTATATTACTATACAGCAATGAGAATGCTACAAGTAACCACGCGGATGAATCAAAAATGTTGAATAAAAGAAGCAAGCACAAAGAATACATAAAGTGTAATTCCATAACTATCTGTTCAATTGTAGGCTTATGTTTTATGTACTGTTTAATATATATTTTATACTTCATAATAATAGGCAGTCTTTTAGTTTAAAAACTCTAGTCTTCACCCATAAAATCCTTATTTTCACTTCGGTTACAGCATTTATAAGTCTGTTTTTCCACCAGACTAGACACTGCTTGAGGGTGGAGATTGATTTTATTCATTTTTGAGCTCCCAGAAGTTCATGGTACACAGCAGATGCTCAACAAATATTGACTGGATAGATGGATGAATGAATAATGAACACAAATCTCAAATGGCAAGGAAATCTCCATGAGGCAGAAGAATATACTGGTAAGTCACTTCCCCTTTCCTGTATACAGGGAAAGACCAGTTTTTTTTAAGTCAGCCCCAAATTTTAACTAGTAACATATATTCTCAAATGCCTATCTATATATATATATAAAACCTTCATATGCAAATAGATCAAACAGTGGAACAACTGAACAACCGGTCGTTGTGTGTTTACCACCAGGGAGTATCAGCCATGGCAGGATGGTGGAGCAGGTGAGCGGGGGCGCCAGACCAAGGCGGGTGGTTGGTCGCTGTCATCAGGGTGAGTCTCTGGTGGTTACTGAAAATTCTTTGCTCCCATGCTCCAAGGTCCTGCTGGGCGCTTGCACCTGCTGCAGGTGCCGGATCCACTCGCACCCACTGCCTGCACCGCACCGGAGCCACCGCTTGCATTCGCTGCTGGCGCCAGCCCCAATCGCTCTACACTGTCAGCGCATGGGAGCGGCAGCAGCGGAGGCAGGAGCAGGGCTGCAGGCAGACAGGACTGGAGCTGCAGCGGGTGGGACCAGGTGGGGGCGCGGAGGATGGACCAAGACCCACCCCTGTGCCCACCACAGCCTTGCAGCCCACAGTTCCTTTCAAGGTGCATGAATTTGTGCACTGGGCCCCTAGTTTCTAATAAGCGGCTACATTTGAACACAGGTTAGTTTTAGGATGTATTTTATTAAAAGTTTAAGGTATTTCTGAGCTCATAGTTCAGTTGCCAAATTCTGATTTTCCCTTTTGCAATACTGCTGCCAGATTCCTGGTTGTCTAACTATATTAATAATTCCTTAATTTAAATACAAAACACATGCACAACCTTCTTTATGAATTTACCCCCAAGAGTTCTAAATGTTTCTCCATTAAAAAGCACATCTCAGCACATCCTGCTGTTCTTAAAGTTGGAATGCTTTCCTCCTCCCAGTTCCCCAGTCTCCCATGGACCATAGTACTGAAATTAGCTATTCATTATATGTGAAGGAGTGCTGGCTGGAGCGGAGCCCTGCAGAGAAAGACTGCTATTTTACATGTCAATTTCAGAACCAAAGCATCTGCTACCTTACTAATATGTATATTTAATGTCTCTGCATAATGTGCAGAATTAGATGCTATTCATTGCCTGTTTGTTCTGATATTAGGTACTCTTAGGTAGCATTATTCTAAATTGTTCTCTTTGAAAAACATGGAACATTTTATTAGGTCTCTTCCTTGGTGTTGTCTGTTACAGAGGACAGCATATAGAGTATTGAAGACCAAAAAACCATGACTCAGAATAAGGTAACCACTGTGACAAGATTTGGCCTGTAATTACTAATAATTTACTTTGTATCCTAGGCTCCTTATTCCTGGATATAGTTTTACATTAACTTGCCATGTGGATGGGGGAGGTATTAAACTTTTAATAGCTGTGGTAAACACAGAATATTGGAATTGTTCATTTTCTGGAAAATCTGTACTCTTATGTTAAAAGTTATATTTCTAGCACATCTCTCTTGTCAACAATTCATCCCAGAAAAATATAACATTTTTTGGTAAAATATTTGGTATAATATTTTTTATGGTGATACATATCCATGAATAAGCCTCAGGATGGGGTAGGAGTAGAGAGAGTAGATTTAAGCTATATCCCATCTATAGATTATAATTGCTTTTGTTCATTAATCTTCATACTCAGCAGGAAGCTGAGAATGTTCAATATTTAAGAACCACCCTGCATATCAGTATTATGCTAGTCAAACCTAAGTGATACTACATGCATAATAAAGAGCTAATGCAAAAAAAGAGAGCTAATGCATGTGTTAACAGAATTAAAAGTGCCACAATGACACAATCATCTAGCTTGCTTTACCAGTTATTGGTGTGATTAATGACTTGCTCAGATTAATAAATAAGATTATTCTAGCTTTATAAACCAATCACATTTGTCAATGAATACTTTTGATTACAGAAGGTAACTAGTAGATCTTGTGGGCGTTTTTTATGTAGTTGAATCCTAGATATAGACTAATGGATTTGACCTAAAAATTTGGCAATAAACTTTAAAAAATTAATCTATTCTTCTCTTAGACACAGAAATTTAGATTCCAGTACTCCAAGAAAAAAATATCTACAAGTGCATGTCTACTTCACACTATCTTTTACAAGCTGCCAAGCAGTCCTGTGGCTGCTGAAGGAACCCTAGTGCCTGCCTCCACTTTCCCTTAGGTCCGTGGTCAGCAAACTGCGGCTCTCGAGCCACATGCGGCTTTTTGGCCCCTTGAGTGTGGCTCTTCCTAAGCCTTAGGAGTACCCTAATTAAGTTAATAACAATGTACCTACCTATATAATTTAAGTTTAAAAAATTTGGCTCTCAAAAGAAATTTCAATCGTTGTACTGTTGATATTTGGCTCTGTTGACTAATGAGTTTGCCGACCACTGCCTTAGGTTTTAGTGTCCATTTTGCTTGGTTTTAGTCAGACTTTACACCAGCTAATGTAATTGGGATTGTGCATCTGAGGCAGATGTTCATACTCTCAGCTGGAGGAGGTAGGCAGGGCAAGATCTAAGAGTAGTTATTGGCAAAACAAGTTAGAAGATGGGCAGTCCAAATAAGTGCCAGCTGCTATAATTAAAACCATCAAGAATATTTCAGGCTGGAAATCATTTTAACCTGTTTTTATATTGAGGAACAGAACTAGCTCTATTTCTGAGGAGCAAGAACCATTAATTAAGGGAACTCTACTTTCTGCCACTTTATCACAATTGCAATTTTATATTTGTTATATATTTAACAAGTTTCTTCCCACTAGAAGGTATGCTCCAGAGAACTACAGTCACCAATTTGTCCCAGTATAATGCCTAATACTTAGTAATGATGACTCAATAAATATCTGTTGTGAATGCATGTGAGCATGAATGCCAGAAATAAGTAATCTGAGAATTAGTAAGAACTATCATACAAACCTACTGAATAGACAGAACCTAACATCAAATCAGAAGAGAGTAGATAATGACCAGGGCTTCTGTGATTAAGCTAGTTCATAGTCTACTAATGTCAGGATCTGAGGCAATAGAAGTTTTATGTATTTAATGAATAGTATGGCACTGACCTAGCAAAGATTTTAACAAATAAACCCATAAAAACAACATAGCAGGAAAAACTAAAACTGGAAGAAATATTTTCCAACACTATTAACTTGGAAAATTTAAGATTATGATTATTATGGCTGTATTGTTTAGTTAAAGCATGGGTCAGCTGATGTCCAAATTACTCCCAACATCTCTTCTGGTGATAATTAAACAGCGACTCAAGTTCTTTAAAATGAAATATATAATTGCTTGCCTTAACTATACATTCTAGACTACAGGCCAGAAAAATATATGTATTTTTAAATCCTTACCCAAGGATATGTTTTTATTTATTTTAGAGAGACAGAGAGGGAGGAAGAGGGGAAGAAAGAGGAGGGAGGGAGGGAGGGAAGGAGGGAGGAAGGGAGGGAGGGAGGAAGGGAGGGAGGGAGGTTGAGATTGATTAGTTGTCTCCAGCACACATCCCAACTGGGGCTCCAACTCGAAATCTAGGTATGTGCCCTGAGGGAACATCATATCCAAAACCTTTTGGTGTACTGGACAACACTCAATCAACTTAGCCACCTGGTCAATCCAGAAAATAATTTTTAACTGATGATATCTCATCTTTAATCAGAATTTCAACAAACAAAATTAAGTTTTTTGTCATCTAAAACAACCACTAGGAACCAACAACCTTAGAAAACATAACAAATCAGCTTCTTATTTAATCAACGACTTAAAAATGGAATCCTTAACAGTTGTTTAAAATATGCATAACTAGGTTTGCAACAGTTATCCTGATTTAAAGCAAAGCACATCTGTTTACGAGTAAGTAAATAAAGTCTGACAGCAATTTGGAACATCTATCAGAAGGAATCAACTGCAAGCTTAATAAGCATTATTTGTATTCCACATAATACTCTTTGTTCTTTCTAGCCACTGAAGTAATAAAACACACTAAAACTCAGTTAGTGTGTACTAAATCCAATGTACCTAGGCAAAACACTGAAAATTCCATTTGGATGGTTCCCAGCCCACACAGCCCAACTTTTTAAAGTATTACTACCATCTGGTTACTAGTCTGTGTTTACCAAAACAGTAGCTGTGCGCACATTTCTGTAGCAGCTGTGGTCAAAAACTTTAAATCAATCCATTTGGCTAAATGAAAACTCTTCAAGGAAAAAAATAAATACAGTATTTTGAATGTATACTTAAAATAAATTCCATTACATTTAATAACATTTCCCAAGGACAAAAATAGTAAGAGTTTAAGTGGTATTTGAGATATTTTAATTATTTATATCATTTATCAAATGATAGAAGTCAAGTAAATTGCCCAAGGTCAAACAACTAGTTAGTAGCTACTAGTAGACTCTGTCTGGAATATCCTTATCTCCTAGTTCCTAATATAAAGAAGGGCCTTTTCACAAAATTGTTTCAACCAAATACTGAGATCCTAAGAGTAGAACTGTGTCAAGCGAATATACCATTTAATAAAAAGCAGGCTGAAATTATTTTAAGTGCATAGCATTTTCATGAAATATAAGAGCTAATCATTATTTGTAAAACCAGACATATTTGTTTCATAACTGTGGTAAGAGCTTAAAGAATCCTGTGAAATTTATAAGACTTTTAATTTAACAAACCTTTCCCTCTCTTTTTCATATCCTTCTCCCAACTCCTCCCATAAAAATTAAGTCTACAAACCAATCCTATTAACCTGGTCAAAAGGCTAAGTTATTACTTTTAATTCAAAGTTAATTTCTTAGCTCCTACACACAACCTAATGTTTCATTTTCTACTATATACTACATTGCATGCTTTCTTGTAATCAGAATATATTTTTGTAATTAACACTATCAAACTTCCAAATAGCCCCTTTCCCCATAAGAAACAAACTCAGCCGCCAAATACTTAATATAGGAATTTTCTATGCCATGCATAGAGGAGGAATTAAAGGCAATAAATCAAATGTACTCTAAATCTTCTGCTGTTATAGAACAATTTCTCTAAAAAAATTTTTAAGAACAAATTTTCAGAACATATTGTGGACTATTTTTTAAAATATTTTTATTGGTTTCAGGAAGGAAGGGAGAGAGAAAGACAGAAATATCAATGAATGATAAGAGAGAATCATTGACCGGCTGCTTCCTGCACGGCCCCTACCTGGGATTGGGCCCACAACCCGGACATGTA